TAACAAAAATCTAAATTGTATAAAATACATCTAAATATATATTTAAAATGTGGAGACTCTAGTTTTAAAGATGTAGGAGATATAATTTTATTCATTTTCGGTAAGGTTTTTAATTGATAACAAAATAACGGAATGAGTTATCGTTTTTTGAAGATAAACTCGACATGCGCGCTATATATACGCACAATAAAAACAAGTAAGAACGTTGCAGTCGGGCGTTACCGACTGCGGAATACTCATTCACATCCCATCAATAATTTAGTAGTTAAGTTTCGCTCTAATACTGTAGAATATACAGGTTTTTCCGATTTGCCACGCCCCAACTGGGCGTAGACACCTCATTTTTGATCAGTTTTTAGAAAGGGATAACGGTACCCTAACTGCAAAGTTTGAATGCTTACCCTCAAAAAATGTGAAAATTACAGGGTATTTTTCGATATGCCACGCCCCTAAAGAGGCGTAAAAATCGATAGAGAAGGCTACCAGTAACTCAACTATCTAAATTTGAAGCTTCTAGCTATTATACTTTAGGAGATATAAACTTTTGCGGTTTGCCACGCCCCCTGTGGGCGGACATATATCCGACAAAACTTTTTGGTCTTGGGTGATCAGTCCGAGTATATATACAAAATTTGAGGTCTCTAGCATCAATAGTATCCAAAATATAGGAGAATTTAAAAAATCACTATATCTTCAGGTCCGATTTGCCACGCCCCCAATGGGCGTAGACTTATAATTTATCTTTAGACTTTATAGAATCATACTATTAGCTGACGTGTAAAATTTCAGCATTCTAGGTTTACAACTTTAGGAGATACAGTTTTATCCGATTTGCCACGCCCCCAATGGGCGTAGATATATCCGCCATAGCTCGAGATCTTGGGTGGTCAACGCGGACCTACATACAAAATTTCAGCTTTCTAGCTCTTCAACAAACATGATTTCTGGTATATCGGAAAATGCATTTTCCGATTTGCCACGCCCCTAGTGGGCGGATCGGGAAAATTTTAACACTTTATAAATCGGAGATATACACGAGTATGTGTTCCAAATTTCAAGTCTCTAGCTTCAGTAGCGCCGAAATAGATTGCGTTCATACGGACAGACGGACGGACGGACAGACGGACAGACGGACGGACAGCAAGACGGACATTGCACAAAACCAATATACTGATTCACTTTCGTGAATGAGTATAAAAATTGAAGCCTCTAGCTCTTATATCATCTGAGATCGACGCGATCATACATACGGAGAGACGGACGGACAGACAGACGGACAGGGCCAAATCGACTCAGCTGGTCGGCTTGATCAAGATTATATTTACTTTGTGGGGTCTGCCATGCCTCCTTCTGCCTGTTATGTACATTTCAACAAAACCATTATACCCTGATTTCAGGGTATACAAAATTATATATGATTATAATAACATGTAGTATATTGAAAAAAATAAATAAATAAAATAAAAAAACAAGTAAGAAGACTCTAGTCGAGACTGCTCGACTAGGAGATACCCTGAAGCCTCTAAACTGATATTCTAATCAGTCTGCACTTCTTTTCGACACACATACATACACACACACACGTATTAGAATGCGCTCTGCTAACTGCGCCTGGGCTGCGCTGTAGTGTAGTAACATTATAAGAATTTATTTGTTGAATAATTTAATTTCTAGACTTACAATCTTAATGAAAGTTTCAGGGCGTAATTATATGGTGAAAATGTATGTACATTCCAAAGCACATGTCTCTAGTACTTGAAATACGCCTTTTACAATGGTGAGGGTGAGGGGGTGGATATAGGGGTGGGGGGTAAATTACAACAAAAATCGAAATTATATAAAATACATATAAGTCTACATTTAAAATTTGCAAGCTCTAGCTCTAAAGGTGTAGGAGATATAATTAAATAACTAGCTTTCGATAAGGTTTTTGATCGATAATAAAATATCGGGAGTAGTTATCTATATATAAAGAAAAACTTGATATGCGCGTGATATACACGGACCTAGGAAACAAAATTTCAAGTCTCTAGCTCTTATATCTTCTGAAATCGACGCGTTCATACATACGGACGGACGGACGGACAGACAGACGGACAGGGCCAAATCGACTTAGCTCGTCGCCCTGATCAAGAATATATATACTTTGTGGGGTCTGCCACGCCTCCTTCTGCCTGTTACATACTTTTAACAAAACCATTATACCCTGATTTCCCATTTTCAATGGGTTCAGGGTATAATAAATAAAAGAATATTAATAATATATAAATAATAATAAATAATTAATAATAAAAGTAATAAATAAATTGTATATTATTATTATTAAATATAAAAAATAATATATAAATTATATTTTATTATTTTTATTTAATTATTTATGTTTTTCTCTACAATAAAAGAAAACAAATACCAAATTTTTATCATCTACTACTACTCTACTTGAGTACTTTGGAGCTGTGCAATGCCCGCTGGCTGCCTTCCATCTGAGCAGGCTGAAATGAGCAACGCTGAGCCAAAACAGAGTTCAATTTAAAAATCGCTTGCATAATTTATAAATGCAGAGCGGGCAGCTGGAGCTGGACATTTATGGGCCACAGGCTGGAGGACCTTAGATTTTTCTTCAGCAGCTCCTGCTGCTCCCCCTGTTCCAGCTTTTGCTTTGTTCCCCAACATCTGCCAGTGTTCGTCAACAGGCATTGAATATTTATCGCTTGGATTCCTTTGCTGCTGTGATTCCATGAGAACAAAATTGAAAATGTGCCACTTTGTTTAATTTTATGCAAATCGATGTCGTCATGCGGTTATATTGAGATTGCTATTGGTATTGGTATTGGTATTGGAGTTGGCATTGGCATTGGTATTGGTTTTTGGTTATTGCTGTCAGTGTTAAGTAACACCCTCTGCTGTTGCCATCTCGCTCGCTCTTGCCCGGGTTTTTAATTAGCATTTGACCAGGAGGCGGCCCCACGTGTTGCATGACTCTCGTCCTCGTATCTGTTGTCACACATCTCACATCTCACACATGCACATGCACAGGCACATGCAGTTGCAGTTCGTGAATTGCAATTTATTTTTGCCATGTTGCATGCCCCATAACCGCATAACACGAAATACACCACAATGCGGTTTTGGTCACGATGCCAATCCCCTCCCGCTCATCTCTCTCTACATAATGGCGTATTTATGGAAATTTCGAAACAAGCGCAGACTTGTGAAATGCGAAATGTGAAATGGCAAATGATGCAAACAGAAGTTTTGGCAAATGCCCTAAATTATTTTCCTTTTTATTGAGCCAAACAAAAAATGCATTGAAGATTGGAAAGTTTGCTGACTTTAAACAGCCAACGGTAGAAATGGAATTTTCTTCTCCAGGAAAATATTTATTTATTGCATACTTTTGGGAGCATTCACAAAATAGAACCACAGTTCTTCATATATATGTATATACATATGCATGCACAAATTTAAATAGAATTTCCTTATTCTTTTCTATTGTTTCTGTTAGTGCCCCACATATAAATCCACATCATGAGCATTCCGGCTGTATTATTGAGATGCCTGTCCGTTGTTGGAGGCATTCCGGCCAGCCCATGCTTAGCTCGGACCACGCCAAGTGCAGTTACTTTCTGCTATCTGACAACATTAAAACTGTCTGCTCAAGTTTCCAACTTACCAGAAGAATTTCAGCTGCTCTGTTCTTTTTCTCATGTATGTATGCATGTGAGCATGTGTGTGCGCCTTGCAGGTAAGACGTATTACCAGCGCAAAGCCACGCCCAGCTGCTTTCAGTTGCACGCGAGAAATGTTTCGTGACAAAGAATTTCAAAACTGAAACTGAAGAAAAACGTCGGAGAGACATTGTAAAGCGTAGCAAGTAGCGCAAAAGTTTGAAGTTTTATTAAAAATACACACCGCAACATTTCTCAAGAACTTTGAACACGAAAACGTGAGATAATTTGTGAAGCCAAACCCAGGACCACAGCCAACGCCAGCGCCAGCGCTAGAGCCAGAGCCAGAGCCTGAGCCTGAGCCGAGGCCGCAGTAGAGTGTCAAGTACTTTGGATAAACTTCTGTAACAGCTCAATTTGAGGGCACGAGAGTTGGCTTGTCAGAAATATTATAATTTCAGTAGATAGCTGGCTGGCGGCTCCTAATGAGCAAATGTGTGCTAAGGAGTTGACTCTGGGCCAACTTTGCCTCACTCCGTTCAGCATCAGATAGACCAAATTCACCTGCTCTCGGCTCTGGTTTCTATCACAGATCAAGGGAATCAATTATCAGCCAGCAAATAGGGAGGCACCGACGGCAACTGCAACTGCAATTGAGCTGCAACAACAGCAACTGCAGCAGCCGCGCACTGCACTTAACTGACAGTTCCGCCCACGGTGCACGCCCTTGCCGCAGGCAGGCATGCATCCTTGCCCCCGTTTCGCTGCTTGTCGGGCGATGCCTGGCAATGGCTCGAAACATTAACATCATGTTGTGGTTATGGAAATTAGCTAACAAGGATGACAAACATTGTGCGTGGCAAGATTTATGCGCTGCATGCAACTCAAGAACATGATGCAACGCATCCTGTGAAAATGGAACACAAACACCAACAACAACGACAACAACAACAACAACAACGACAACAGCAGATGCCCAGCAAGGACAATTGGAACTCGAGCATTACGCGACCACTAATTGGTATTTATTGCCACTTAAATGGGCCGAACTTGTTGCTACTTTTCACCTCGTATTTCATTTGAGTTTTTCCGTTCGCCGAGCGGCAACGCCCACTCAAAATGTCGGCGGCAGGCGTCGATCTCGCTGCGATCGGCCAATGGCAGCCGGGCTGCTATAATTAGCGATCGCGAGAGAACGAGAGCAAACGCACTTGAGAAGAGTGAGCAGGGTGAGCAGCCTGAGGAGAGTGTGTGTTTGGGTGTGTGTGTGTATGTGGATGGATGTGGATATGTTGAGGCGGCTCGCATCTTGAGGCTAATTTCAGTGGGCACACGACTTTGGCACGGTTTAGTATCGTTGCGACAATTATCGTAATTAACTCGTTTATGTGTTGTGTGCTAATCCAATTAACCAAGTTCGCGCAGGATGCCCCCAGAAGCAGCAGATGCAGCCGCGCAGTGAGAAAACAAAATAAATTAATTCAATCAGCATCCAATTAGAAAGACAAATGAAGAATTTTAACGCACAATTCGCACGCCCAATTGAATTGTGTGTTTCTCTGCCCTTTTCCTCGTATCGCCATCGCCATCGCCATCGTCACCATTGCCCGCATCATCATCATTATTAACAATTGCCAATTAGGGAAAACAGTGATTGACCAAGTGATTTGCACAAGAATCTCAATTCAATTCGCCAGCCATGTTAAACTATCAGCAGCAGCTGCATTCCATACCCGTCGGCGGTGCCGGCAATTTCTATTATGCCGCCTCGACAATGCCGTCGGCGACGTCCAATGCATCCGGACCCGGTTCCGGGCCAGCTCACACCTTGGCATCCAGCGAGGCGACGTATGCCGCCCCGCCCCTGGAGCTGGATGAGAAACTACATCAAGCCTCCTACGTCAAGGATAAGGAAATTGCAAATCGCCGAGAGCTGGACAAAATGCATCGCTTCTCCGTGGACAATCTCATCGAACTGAAACAGGATGCGTTTGCCAAGAGCAAATTATCCATGGAGCTGGCCAATAACTTTGGTAAGTTACAATCTATTATATTATTATATTATTATATTATTATATTATTATATTATTATATTATTATATTATTATTATTATATTATTATAATATTATACATATTATTATTAAATACAAAATTGGGATCACATTCGCATCAGTCACAGCCATATAATCAAAATGTCATTCGTTTCAAAAGCGACTTTTAATACATTTGAGGTAATTTTTAATTTAATAAACACTCTCAAGAGACTCGCCTATATGTGAGATTTTCTAGATATAACAGCCTAATTATCTATCAAAAATGTATATTTTTACGTCACATTTAGGATAGATCCTACATTCCACATAATTACGTTTTCTTGACATATGTATAATAATTGGTTTTTTTTTTTTTCCAAATATAAAACTAATTGTAAAAGCAAAAATACAAACTTAATATAAATTATAATTTTTTTTCTTAAGAATTTTAAGTTTTTGCCAAGATTTCTTATATTTATTTACAAAAGTTGATTATAATAACATTGTACAAATATTTTAATAAATATTTTAATCTTCTTAGTTTTTGAAAATTTTATAATATTTCAAATGAAATTATTGACAAAGTTTGTTGGTTTGAAAATTTAGTGCGAAAATACAAAATTATTAAAATGTTTAATAAACGTATTTAAAAAGATTTTTTTTATTGCAAATATACATTTTAGTATTATTTTGAACATAATTGTAATTATCCTTTAAATATATAGATTAATATATAAATTATAGATACATAGAAATATATACATATTTTTATATATTAAAATACCTTTAAAAAAGTACATAATCTACATTGATCTTTCAATTGTTATATTAAATAAATTTTTTTTTTTTTAGAAATAAAAAATTGCTTAAATAAATATTTTAATGATTTGTCTAATCGCTTCAAAATCAACTCAATATTGATATTAAAGATAAATTTTAAAAAGGTTCTTAGCTCAGCATCCGTTGCATCTTTATGATTTATTAATATTATACCATAAATGATACAAATTTAATAATTTATGGATTTATCGCATTAATTAAAATCAACTTAAAAGTGTTTTCAATCAAATGTATTTAATAATTTATCACTCCAATATATTCGATAAGCTGATTTGAATTTGCAAATGATGATAAAATGATACTTAAATTGGCTTTCATTTGTTAATCCCTACTATTCACTTAAGGTAGTTTAAAGGCATTTTGTAGTTTATCATTTCGACATGCCACACGTCTGCTTCAGGGTGGTAATCATCGGGCTATACATTCCGTGTAGTCAGTTTCAGTTTTTTTTTTTTTTCCTTAACCCAACCAAATCTTTTACCCACGCCATTTGTCTCAATTTGTCAGCGGAGCTGTCCGCGGGATGGCATCGTAGATCAGCCCAGGCGCTCCATAAGAGCAACTGCAGAGCCGCACGAGGTCCCAGGGGAGGAGTGGGAAGACGAGCTGTTTAATTTGAATTGCCAGCGAATCGGGCAAGCAGCGATAAAAAACAGTTGCAGCTTAATAAAATAAAATAAAATAAAAAAGCGGAGCACGAAAACTCCAAATCGAAAGGGAAACCTCAATCAGATTTGTGGATAGGCATGGACATGGGCATGGGCATGGCTAGGGAAAGAGAGCCGAACTGAAGACGGGCACATGTTACAATCCGAGCAATGATAAAAATAAACACACACGCCTCTGGTCTCAGCCATTTACTGTGAACGTGGGATAGGGGCTGCAACTGCAACTGCAACTGCAACTGCAGCAGCAACGGTAGCGGCAACGGCAACGGCAACGGCAACGGCAACTGCAGCGGCGACTGCGACTGGCTGGGATGTGGCTGGTCGTTTTATGCTCCACTTGGAAAATATAGTCGTTGGGCTGCGCTCTTTGGCGCTTCGGTTGTTCAAAGGCATGCGGCCTCTGAGGGAATATCATGTCAGCTTTGATTACGTTTTGTCATGTTGACAATGTTGAAGTGTTGTCTGCAGTCGGAAATGCAGCTGAAAGGGGGAAAGCAAAGAGGCGCAGCAAAAAGAGGCACAGCAACTGTGTGCGTGGCCAACGATTGAGAGTTGACTCCTGATAGCATTGCCATTGCCAGCAGTGACAATGAGCTGCGTATATTTCATAGCAAATTATACCGCTGACAAGAGCACGGGCCTAAAACCAGGCCAGGAGACAACCCGGAGCCGGAGCAGGAGCCGGAGCCAGAGCCACGCCAGCGCCCGTGCGCTCCTTAGCTTTTTCGCACAGCAGCAATGGAAAACGAAAAAAAAAGAAAAATGAAAAAAATGAAAAAATGAAAGAGAAATATGCACACAAAGATGAGGCTGTCATCCATTTGGTTGTGCAATTGGCGGCGGCATAAATGAGCGAATGTCGCCCACATATGGCACCTAGATGTCATGCATGAGCTGTAGTTGCAGCTACCCAAATAAATCACATGCATAACTATATCTACTTGTATGTATAAGTATATATATATATGTATATATATGTGTGCAGATATCTACATATATTTGCCTTTGGCATGCGTGCGCATAATATCATAAATTTTCAGCTCATTTCAATTCAAATTTATCATTTACGAGCTAAGCATCGCATACAGCAATACATAACATGATTTTCATTCAAACAAAGCAGAAAACATGGCTATGTGAAAGTATAGAATTTTATAATCCATTTTATGTTACACTACCAAGAATTCCTTAAACGAATATCGCTGCGGAATCTCTAGTTCAATTATCAAAAAAAAAAAAAAAAAAAAAAACGTAGAGCAATATGGTTTTTATTAAAATTTAAATATAGAATCTTATCAATTTTGTATTAAAATTTAAATAAAAGATATTAATTTTTATAACAGATCGCAAAAAAAAAAAAATATTAATAAGAACGAAAAAATTTAATTTACGATGTTTTCCAATGTTACTTCTATGAACTCAATATGGATATTTATAAAAAAAAATAAATAAACGGAAAATAAATCTATTTATTAGAATATAGAAAAAGTTTATTATTGAGTGAACAATATGTTATGAACAATATATAATAATACATAGAGGATACTAACTCTTTTAAAATGGAATAAATTTAATTTGTTGTCTATATTAGAAATATTTTAAAGACCCAATTCTCTTGATAATTAGCATTATTCTTTTTAAATACTTTGATCATATTTTTCACTTGCTAATCTCAATTTACTTATCCATTTTGAAGGTATTTAGTAGCTCAGCCTGTTTTTAGTTGTATATACAAATGTATACATCTTGGTTGAGGTCCTCCAGTCCACATGAATGTCCAACTGTGTGTATACACATAATCCACTTATCGTCAATTTCTTTTTGAGTATGAAATTTTAAACATTTACTAGGAAATAACCCCATCTTACATATAAGCATATTGAATGCGTCCACTTGAAGTGAGTAAGGCAAACCGGGTTAGTTAGGCTTCTAAAATTTTTATTCATTTAAATTGAATATTCTTTGAATGTTATTTGTTTTCTAAAAACCCTGGAATTTTGAAAAGCTTTCTACAAGAATAAATAGCCTAACAAGCTTAAATATAAATTTAATCATACAAATTTTAATTTCAATAAATAATTTAAATGCATATTAGAAAGATTTATAGAATTCCCGACAATATTTGAGAGATTTTTGATAAACAAAAGTTAAGACAAATTTGAATAACATTCTTCTTATAAATAAAATCCAGGAGTATTTTATCTCAAGTGCCTTGACTGCTAATACATTACTATTTATAATTAGAATATTAAATATTATCATTTGCATTAAAAATAACAATGATATTGATTTCAATGGAGCAAAAAATTTGAAATAATATACCTAAAATATTATTTGTAAAGCTTCATTTATTTTTAGACAATACAGTAAAACGAATTCTCTTATAGCGTCGGTACGGTTATTGCGATGAAAATGCTGGCCCGCAGACAAACTTGAGCAAACTTATACGGTTATACGGTTGAGATTTATTTGCAATTAAAGTTCTTTTTTACATATTGCCTTCTATTGGCTGATATAAGCCCATTATACAATGTTTTGAATGGATTCAGGTTATGGAATATTTATGCATACACTCTGCATATTCTATTCGGCTGTTGTTCTTTTTTATCATCTTTGTCTTTCGTCTGAAATCAATTAGTGAAAGTAGCTGTTCGCTTAATGTCACAATTTCGGTTTAATTAATAGATCGTAAATTTGTGGCGTTTGTTTTGTACGTCGGCTTGCCACCTAAAATTAGTAGACAGCTGCCCGAGCATGTTGAAATATACATACACTCACTCATATAAATATGCATGTATATAAATATATTTTATGACCCATGCCAAATGTTTATGACCCTCCCGTTGGGTACAGCGCCAGCGAAAGGATCAACGGGAATGCAAAATTTAATGTGTTGAGAAACATAAAAGTACGCCCGAAAATTCTTTGGCTGACAAATTAATAGTATATGTCCGGGCTCTAATCGATTATTTATGGGGCTTCCAAGAATCTCAATAAAAGCCAAAGATTTTCTTATTAATTGTTCTATAATTGTCTTCCGTTCTCGTTGTAGGCGGCGGCGGTGCCGTAGATTACCCCAACAATCTCAGCTCGGGGCATTCCAGGAAGCCGCGTCGCAATCGCACCACCTTCAGCTCAGCTCAGCTCACAGCCCTGGAGAAGGTCTTCGAGCGTACCCATTATCCGGATGCATTTGTACGCGAGGAACTGGCCACCAAGGTGCATCTGAGCGAGGCACGAGTGCAGGTAAGCCACGGGTCAACTTAGCCAACCATATGAACCCTTTGTAAGCTCCGATCCACCTCAGGTCTGGTTCCAGAATCGTCGTGCCAAATTTCGACGCAACGAGCGCAGCGTCAGCCTCGGTCGTCCGCTCTTGGACACGTCGACACAGCTGGTGCCGGCTCCGGTGCCCAACAATATGCACAAGTACCCCAATTTGACGCACAGTGCACCACCCGGTGCATACGCCCTGAACTTTGCACCACTTGAGCTGCGCTCCTGCCAGAACTATTCCAATTGCTATGGAGGATTCGGCGCGAACCCAAGCAGTGCCAATGGCGTCTGCTCCTTCTTCGGGGCGCCCAACTACTGTGTGAACTACGCGAAGAATGCGTATCCCTCGCTCTGATGGGCGATGGAGCCAAAAAAAACTCTGTATTTCAATTAGCACAATTGCATTATTATAATGTTATTTATACGAAATTTATACCTGACTAATATATAAATATAAATATGTATATGTATATATATATGTTTATATAGTAGAACTTTTAATAAAATATGCTAAATTAATCGGATTCTAATTTGATCTGAATGAGCTCAGCGGCGCGCGACTTCAGAGTTCATTTTACATTTTCTTATAGTTAAATTGCGTTTCACATTTAAATATTCATAAACAAAAATGGCAAAGGGGGAGACAAAAGAAAAAAAAAAACAACAAAAACATTTTTATGGAAAAAACCAGAACAATTTATAATCATCAACTATGCATATTTTGCCCTATCATGAATACTTTCCGAGCTTTTCAATTATTTAGCTGTCACAGGTTTGCCAAATTAACATCGCTGATTTAATTATGTACTTTGATAGATGAATTAATTAAAAATTCATATGCGTATCTATGATTACAAGACTCAAATGTGTGAGCTTACACATATATATATATGTGTGTGTGGGTGTTTGTGTGTCTTATACGCATGTGTAAATTTGTATAATAAAACTTAATTAAAGTCGAGCAACAAAAAGGAAAAGACTCTGGTAAACTTTTCCAATCCACATCACCATTGAAGTACATTAGGTTTGCGGCTAACGCAATTAAAAAGACAGATTGCCATAATGAATGGAAACTACAGTGTGTTGAAACCTGTCTGAGACAGCAGGTAAATTAAGGTATTTATGTAACTTAGATTAAGTTTCAAATGACTTTCTACTTTGTATGCAGGGAGAGAGAGAGAGAGAGAGAGAGAGAGAGAGAGTGAGCAAGAGTTATAGTCAATGGCAGCTGAGCCAAAACTTCCCAAAGGATTTAATGCAAATCTCTATGAGCCCATCTAATTTATCATACAATAAAGCCTCAACACGATTCCATACATGAATAACTGAGAGTGTTCTACAGACGGGTATGCACGACTGCCACATACCCTTGTCACTTATATATTATACCTATTTTATATATATGGTTTTATAATACTGAACGTAACAGGGAGAAGGAGGCGTGAAAGAGCCCATAATGCACACAGGACAGTACAGGACGATGAGGAGCTGAGCTGATGAACCCATGTCCATATGTCCGTCTGACTGTTCGTATTACTGGAGCCATCTATAAATGTTAAATTAATACTTATTTTCCATCGATGTCTCATCTTGAGAATTACTTAAATACTGTATATGCTAGAGACTTCCGATTTACTTTGTAGGTACTTATATATATACATGCATATGAATGTAAGGTCAATCAATTTTTACTCGTTTTTTATCGGGTATTTATTCGTCTCTTTGAGTTTTTTTGTTTAAGAATTTTCCACGACGGATAAATATAAGCGAAAATAAAGCCACAAACAATATGAACCAAATATTTTGATCAACGCTTGAGCATTTGTTGTGTGACATATTCCCACTGTGTTCCGTCAATTCGCCGGGAAAGATCAGGCCCGTAAATTCATTAATGTATGGAGTAATGTAATCCTTGTTTTTGGGGATCGCTATATCCTGTCTCTCATTGGCAGCTAAGCAGCTGGCGATCAGATCGTCGGTGAAATCAAACGAATGATTAATACATTCAATACTGGATTGCTTAAATTTGAAGGTGGTCAGCGTATTATTTTCTCGAAGGCAATGAAAAGTCCTGTAATCGATAATATCTACTCCCAAGCAGCTTTCGTAAAAAGACTCGCCATAGATAATCACATAGGTCTTCGGCAACGTTGCCAATTCATATATGGTATAAGGATTGCCTGTTTTCAGCTCATATGCACTCCACTTACGTTCGAGCTCGTCCGGATAAATATCAGAGCAGAACTTCACCCAATCTGGTACATAGATGTAGGAGCACATATCGTTTTTACTTACGGAAAACATTTTAAAATATTTTTATTCGGATGGGACTTGAAAGTGGAATGGAAATTGTAAGCTGGCTCTTATGATTATGAAGTTAAAAACTTGGCCTAAGCTAACCCGATCTACGCAGGATCGATTGAGTATATTCTTAAAATTTTCTTAGTTTTATCTCTAGTATTGAATCATTCTACCTTCTTCAATGGGTTCAGGGTATAATAAGTATGCCCTATAATAGCAAACCACAATAGAACCACATTCAGGGGGTATCCTCGGCGAGTGTGCGGATACTCACTTCTGTGCCATTCGCTTAATAGACAAAAGGTTAACAAGTACTATGAAAAAGTTTAAATGTAAATAAAAATTCCTTTCTCATGCCGGCCTGACAGGCCACAAAAATGCAAATTAACGTTTGGTATGTAAGCGTTATCTGCAACTAATTTGCATAAAGAGCAAGTGTAAGAGAAATGGAATCAGTGTGAACGAGTGTGTGTGTGTGTGAGTGTTTGTATGTGTGTAGTCTCAACATTTTTACAATATTTACCAAATGACAATATGGCTTGAGAGGCAGCACAAAGGCAAAAAATGCGTTTGGTCCCTTATTGCGATGCGGCAAAATAGTTGCAGGCGACACGCCAAGGGATGGCAAATTAACCGAGCCACGACATTTGCTGACATGCTACATGTTGCAAGGCAACAGCACCCTGACAATGTAAGTTGAAATAGAGAGTAAGAGAAGAACGCAGAAATGCAGGCAGGATGAGAAATATGGGATTGAGAGAGTGGGAGTGAGTTGGAGTACAAGAAATTCCAGCAACATGCCGCTTCTATCCCTATACCTTCTAAGTGCCGATATACTCATTTCAGCTGGGAGTGAATTTCTACATTATCACATTGAGTTAGTCTGGGTGCAATGACTTGGCTTCAATGTCAATCACCAGCCGAAAGTTGGTTTCCTACCTGCTCGCCCATCCATTAACGGTAGATCTGTTAATACCATATTGAAACAAAGCTTACTGATCTCTTAGTGTACTGGAAGATAATTTTATGTACTCTTGCTCGATGCATTTCATCGCTCATCGGCCAATATTGATGTCTAATTTGTTCTATAAAATTGATCTTTTTAGTTTTATCTGATTTTTTTTATCTATGATTAGATTTTTAGATTAAATATGTATTAGATATCAATGTTAATTCCTTCAAATTTTATGAACATGAACTTCAATTATCACCACATTCAACATCATCAGTGCCCGAATAACATTGCAAGCGATATACTTATATTACTCTTCTATGCAGTATCGAAACTATATAAACAGAGGAGCTCTCAGTTTAGTTGGAGCTGTGCACGCAATTTATGTAATTGCACGATAATTTAGCCTCTGTTAAAAAACAATTATTCAAACAGATGTGCATATATCAAAGCGAGTGAGAGCTCCTACATAGGGCTGACACAGTCCGACTGAGTAAGACAACAGGAGGCACTTCCATTGCCCTCTGTTCTGTCAGATGAAAGACGACCCGAAGCGCAGCCGCATTTTGAGTTGCAGTTGCAATCTTCTTGACAGCTCCTTAAACACACATACACATACATACATAGATGTTATGACGAGGGTGATGAGATTTGTGTGGTACTCAAGCATGTGCTCGAATGATGACGAATTCTGCCTAGTTTTGTTGTGATCCGGCCGGAGACAATACTGTCAAGATTATAAATCATATGGAAGACCTGAAAAAATATAGTTCATGGCTCTATTCTAATCGACGATACTTCATTCAATTAGACATTGCAAATTTCCAACTATATAGTTATAAAAAAAAAAAACTACAACACATTTAAAACTAAAATGCTTATTTTTATGCCTAATTATTATTTTTACGAATGTTAAGCGAAATTCCAATGCAACAATTTCGAACCAAAATTTATGACAAAGACTTTTGACGAGTTAAATGAACGATGTATGGAATTATGCTCCTCTACAATCAAATCATATGAGCAATAGTTGGGAAATTAATCCAATCTGCTAAAAAAGAGGGCTGAGCAAATCAAATAATTTTGACAGTTGATGTTTTAAAATTGAATTAACATGTTCGCCTAGCTTGCTATATTTTCGATGACTTGACTTTGGATTCTTGGCTATGATAATTTTTTATCATCTACTCGATTGATTATAATGCTCAAATTTTTTCTTAGTCATTCAATAAATCTCTTCGATTGTACACGGTGTCTTCGGTACTACGAATTAACGCAACAATCACTGCTCGGGGCAACCCAGGAATCTGCCTCGTTCAGCTCAGCACAGCTGGTGGTTCTTCTTCTGCTTACCATTTCTTTATTTGGCTTACCAAGCTTTGTATGTGACTCCACTATTTATTAACGTTTTTGTGAACAACTATTTTAACAAGAATATTCTTCGAAAGATTGCAATAAGCGTAAATACTGCCACAAAAGCCAATAGCCAAATATTCTGATCAATGGTAGTTCCTTTGTTGCGTGTCTTATTCATAGCAAACTCTTGCAGTACGCCTGGAAAGATCAGCCCCGTATAATCATTTTCGAGCATGGGATTTGTCCTCGGTAGCAATGTATTGTTGATTGTTCCCGCAGTTGTGCAACTTGTAAATAAATCGCCGGTAAACGCAAACGTATTATCAATGCATTCGATATAAGGTCGGAAAAAGGAAAAGCTACGTTGAACTCCATTTGTGTAGGTGCAGTTAATTGCTTTGCTATTGACAACATTGACTCCAATACAGTGATCAAACAGTTCCGAGCCAAAGATAATCAAATAGATTTTTGGAGCGTAACTCAAACGATATATGGTATAACGATCGTTTTTAGAAATATCAAATGACAAGTACTTGTCCTCAAGCGCTTGCGTATAATTTCCAGTGCATACCTTAAGCCAATCTGATGAGAAGACGCCTGGACAATAAATGATTGCACCTGGGATATGCATAGCAGCAAATTTTGTCGTATAAGGTTTCCAAAAGGGAATGTAAGCCTGGCGCTCTGTATATTCGATGCGTAGCAATTCATCAAATATCTATATATGAGTGAATTTGACATTTGAAACTTGGGTTAGGCTAACTCATGGAATGAATTACTGTTCGACATACATATTTAGATATTTCCATATTTCCACTCGAGTGTG